AGTTGCCTGGTCACAGTTGCCTGGTTACAGTTGCCTGGTTACAGTTGCCTGGTTACAGTTGCCTGGTTACAGTTGCCTGGTTACAGTTGCCTGGTTACAGTTGCCTGGTTACAGTTGCCTGGTTACAGTTGCCTGGTTACAGTTGCCTGGTTACAGTTGCCTGGTTACAGTTGCCTGGTTACAGTTGCCTGGTTACAGTTGCCTGGTTACAGTTGCCTGGTTACAGTTGCCTGGTTACAGTTGCCTGGTTACAGTTGCCTGGTTACAGTTGCCTGGTTACAGTTGCCTGGTTACAGTTGCCTGGTTACAGTTGCCTGGTTACAGTTGCCTGGTTACAGTTGCCTGGTTACAGTTGCCTGGTTACAGTTGCCTGGTTACAGTTGCCTGGTTACAGTTGCCTGGTTACAGTTGCCTGGTTATAATCAGAGTTTACAAAGCTTGAAACGTAAACCCAGAGGTTCTGGTCTGCTGTTCAATTTACTGTATTTCTATTAGTTTGTGTGTACTGAGCCGCGTTATGTCGTAAAACTGTTGTGAGAGAAAATTCTTCTCAATCAACATGTTCACTTTATCTCATAACAATATTACACACTACCAATGTGTTATCAAGCATCTGCGGTCAATATCTTTATTTTTGTATCTGATTTTTTTTGCCAGCTTACCAATCTCTTTGAATTTTTGAAGCTTCGAAACTTGTACTGAAACTTTGGTCCTGAATATGGTATATGGTAACTTTATTGTACATTTCTACATTGTAGAATAGTAGAGAATACGTTGATTTAACAATAGGACTTATTAATGTCTTAGTAAGTCATCACAGGCATAACATTACTACATATGAATAAACTACCTTATCGGACCTTATTTCTTCATTTGAACGGACATCAATTGAACACTGGAGGTCCTAGCGTTCATCTTAATGTCCGTAAAAATTAAGTCCGTCCGTTTAAGGTCCGTCCAAGTTAAAGTCCGTTGAGATTTTTTCCAAAATTATTCCACTGCGAACTCATGTTTAGGTGGAAACTTTTAAATTTCAGTCAATTGTAATTTCTATCATCGGAATCATTATCATGATTATGGCTGCCATAATCATGATAATGTGATACTGATACTTAACTTTAGAATATTTAAATTGTAAAATAACTCATTTTTTATTGATCCAATGATATAGTTTAGTCCGAATCCGATGATAGAAATTACAATTGACTGAAATTTAAAAGTTTCCACCTAAACATGAGTTCGCAGTGGAATAATTTTGGAAAAAATCTCAACGGACTTTAACTTGAACGGACCTTAAACGGACGGACTTAATTTTTACGGACATTAAGATGAACGCTAGACATTAAATATGGCATGATCACTTTCTTGATTTTCGGCTTCCTCGTTCACTTCTTCGGAGTTATTATTTACCTCCACATCTTGGTCTTGTAAAAGTTTACGCTGAAATGCAGGACAGAGTTGGACAAATACATTTTTTTTAGTAAATATGAAAAAATTTGGATTTTTGATGGTTTTGAATGCCTTGTGTCCGTTCATTTAATGTCCGGTCAAATAAGGTCCGATAAGGTATATACCTTATCGGACCTTATTTGGACGGACATTACTTGAACTCTGGAGGCCCTAGCATTCATCTTAATGTCCGTTCAAATAAAGTCCGTTCAATTTATGTCCGTCCAAGTTAAAGTCCGTTGAAATTTTTTCAAAAATTTTTCCATTTCGAACTTTATACCCAGAATATAACAACTATGAAAACTTTATTGTGCCGTAAGTTAACGACGGAAAGGGTCTCCTCGGTCTGCTGGAGGCACAGAAAACTCTACTAGTATATGATGTTTTCAAGGGTCACTTGGCGGAGAAGTCAACGAAATCATGGCACTCAACAACATAGTTCATGAGCTAGTCCACGCCAACATGACAAACTTGTTCCAGCCTCTAGATATTACGGTAAATCGTGTTGCCAAGGATATTGTCCGACGTTGTTATAGTTCATATTACTGAGGGGAGGTAATGAAACAGTGCTAGGAAAGCTCCACGTGATGTTAAGGTTAACCTAAAGTTGTCTAAGATAAAACCACTTCACGCCGAATGGCTTTTAAAAGTTAACACTGAAATGCAGGACCGGGGTAGTTTGATAAAAAAAGGTTTCCACAAATCTAGAAATCACTGATGCTTGTTTAAGCATGGACTATTTCATGCACGAAAACCCATTTACTTACTTTGTTACTTTGTAGGGTTTCATAGAATCCTCTATCGGGCCATCGAAAAAGTCGACCCCCCCGGACAGTGTAGAAACTGTTTTATCACCACTCCAATCAAGCAAGGAGTTTCCATTCCGACGGCTGTATCCTGGAGCTGGAGGCTCGTCCGGAAATGACTTCACAAAGTTCGTTAAAGCTACTTTGAAATGCATAGGATCCTCGATGGTGTGCATATGTGTTGGGATTACATTCCATAATCGAGGTCCAGTGACTGCAAATGAGTTGTCGTGTAGTGCTTGATTACGTTGACTGCTGGACTTAGCTATACTGGGCACAACTGCTTTTTGACCATGTCTGAGAGTCACCGAGAACTGGATACCAATATCATTAGGGCACTTGCAATGCAGAACTTTCCACATGTTGATGATTAAATACCGTTCTCTTCTTCTTTGCAATGACATCAGATCTAGGGCCTTTAATCTCTGCCAGTAGTCGAGGTGCTGGGTGCCATCTATTTTCGATGTAAACGTACGCTGAATCCCTTCTAGCTGTTGGATAACCTTGTTCTTAGAGCAATTCCACAGAGGACAGCAATACTCCAGATGGCTTCTAACGAGAGACTTGTACAGAGTCATCATGGTGGCTTTGTCTCTCGTTTTGAACGCACTTAGCACCCAAGAAGCAACTTTTCCTGCGCGTTCAGCTATCCTGTTGACGTGTGGGGTCCAGGACAAATCAGCGGAAACTGTCACTCCTAGATCTTTCACCGTTTGAGTGGGGTACAGCATGTTTCCGTTAGACACTTCATATGTTTGAGCTTGGATGGCGAATGGATGATCAAACAAGGAATTCTTTGGACAATGCTTGTGAACAAGAAGCTCAAACTTATCCTCATGAAGGGCCATGTTGTTGCACTTAGCCCAATTAACAACAGAGTTGAGATCATCCTGCAGGACATCTTTGTCGGCCAAACTGTAGATATGCTTAAGAATCCTAGTGTCATCAGCAAAGAATCTGATGACAGACCCTTTAACACATAGCTTCATATCATTTATGAACAGAATGAATGAATTTAATGAAGATGATATGTGATATTAGACACTGCTCATGTACACATATTTTAACATTTTTACTGCTTAATGACTGCTTTTCTTACTTACTGTATAAAAAATGGATTAAAAAATCATTTGCTGAAATTAAAAAACGTCAAAAAATTGAAAAAATTCGGATTTTTGATGGTTTTGAATGCCTTCGAGCGTTCATGTTAATGTCCGTTCACAATTATGTCCGTTTATGTAATGTCCGTCCAAATAAGGTCCGATAAGGTATACTAAATATATTCATAGACACAGTGTTCGTCATATTAGGAAATAGAGAGGGGGTGGTTTTGGAATTTCGGACAAATCCGGACAGGGGGAGGGGGGGGGGGGGGTTTCTGAAAATCCGGACGTCCGGAAATTTTGGAAGAATTAACAAAAAAGTCCCATTTATTTCAACTCTTTGAATTTTATTTCAAATATTTGAATTTTATTAATAATGAATTTGAGTCGGTTTTATTCTTACTCTTCAAAGTAGCTGGAAATCCGGACGTCCGGGGGAGGGTGGTTTTGACAATTCGGACCCACCGGGAAGGGGGTGGTATGAAAACCTGCGATTTTAGCGGACGCCTTAGGCTTAAGTAGATGGCCCCTAACCATTGCACCATCGACCCATGATGAGCAAGGACAAAAGAAAATCGCGATTATTTAGGCCAAAAATCGCGGCGCCGCGACAAGCCAAACTTGCAAAATCGTGGCAAATTGCAGCAAAAATTTCGAAAATTGTGGCTAATTTGCAGAAATTTCCACGGTTCTTCAAGTGAAAAAGTTGTTCTCAGTATTTCAGCTTTACCATTATTGTGTCACATCGTGACCCCCATCGTCGTTTCACTTAGTGGTGTTAGGGTGAAAGTCACGATATAGCCGCAACCTCATAATATACGTGGCGAGCCTACAACGTGAGGCAATATAACCCTCATGAGTTTTTGTCCATTTTGTGTTCGCAAAGGTAAGATATAATGTTATAATATAAATTGATTGTCTTAACAATTGGTCAATTTTTTGATTGTTCCAAATCTCACTTAACAGATTAACTGCTAACTAACCTTATGCCTAACACATTTAACATTATATACGTATTATGTTATTCCTCATCTTTGCCTTTGTTCATAAGTGATAAGGGGGCCTTTATGTATCGTCTTCTGAATGTTTGCAGTTTTCCAGACATTGATTGGGGTGTCAAGTGGTTAACTCTACATGTCTAGTGGTAAACTTATGTCTAGTGGTCTAAGTTTTTATGTCTAAGTTTTAGGGAAGTTGGGAAGTTTTGTGCTAACAATGTTACGTCAGCAGAGTATGATCATAAAATCTGGTCATATTTCGTATCTGTTGTTTTTACACAACTTTTATAATCAATAATCATAGACACTGATCTGCAGATATTTTGACATTTTTACTGCTTAACGACTGCCTTTCTTGCTCATTGTCTGAAAAATTTTAAAAACGCCAAAAAAAAGATGACAAAATTTGGATTTTTGATGGTTTCGAATGCCTTCGAGCGTTCATTTTAATGTCCGTTCATAATTATGTCCGTTCATTTAATTTCCGGTCAAATAAGGTCCGATAAGGTACTGGTAGTTATGAATGAACTAGCTCTACATATTTTATTCGAGATAATATATACTTGAATCTATTTTTACTATTGAGTAGCATTCATTAAACTTAAGCCAATTTATGGTAATCATTTTACTAATATTATAGTTACGTTCTGACTCAAGAGAGAACAGAAGAATGAAAATGAGTTTGTTGCTGTTGGTCGGTGTTATTTCCTGGTCTACCGTGTTAGCTGACAACAATTGGCAGTTTGAAGGAACCATTAACGACGATACGGATAACGAGAAATACATTAAAGTAAGCATAGAAATTATCAATATAAGTACAAATTTTTTTCAATTTTTGCAGGAACTTTTTCCAAATTAATTTTAAAAACTTCCCTCTCTCAGCTAGACGATACAGATGAAGGAAATGCAGTCTTTCATTTAACAAGCAGCTGTGAAAATACTGGTGACGATACAAGTTATCTTCAGATTAAGCTATACGAATTCAGGTTGCTGCTACAACTTGTATTGTGCACTTTTTAAACTGTAAAAAATTATTTATTCCTCCAAATTTAAGACCAGTGTTACTTAAAATCAAAGCAATGTGACTGAAAAAAGAGCTAACAAAATATGATTTCAGTACATTAATGACAGTGATATACAAAGATGTTATCTGTGGAGGAGAGTCGGAAACTATTCGTTACTCAGAACCACAGAATGTAGAAAGTGCGAAAGAGTATAAAATACAAGTGTTTGGGAAGCAAGGAATTGAATTCAAAATCAAGGTAATTGTTGTTTCCATGTCTCAGAGTAATGGGCGAAATGCTCACTATTCCTTTTATCAGCTTAATACCAAATGATTTGTTTGTGCATTCTTGGCTTTATTTGTCACGGTTGTAGGAAAGGTCATAGTCGCATTGAAATTGTATTCTCCACTTGTGCTGGAACCTTTAATTTTCAGCTGGAATTAGAAGAAACAGATATAGTTATGGAGGACAGTGAAGGTACTGTAGATGGTACCATTGCACGAAAGACTATGCTTGTAAAGACCTTCACTCTCACTGAAGAAGATATTAAAAGTACGAGTGATTGGAGGTAGGGATTTATAAATTAGGATAACATGTTTATGCCTTGGTAACATATCATATCAGTGTGTTGCTTATATGGGGAAGGTTTGTTTTTATAAAATTTCTTAGTACATCAACAAAACACAGGTTTGCTATGTCTACCTAACATAGCCAGTTATATATTTAGTGGCTGCGTGGCTCAGTTGGTAAATCTTCCTGCTTGTTAATCGCGAGGTACGGCAGGTTCGATTCCCAGCTGAGCTATCAGCCATGAGGTGAGCGTCGTTGACGCTCAGCTAAGGATTTCGAGTGATCTATGCAGCCCCCCGGTGCTCTCAGCCGAATACCCGAGAAATCGGGTGTGAGGGATAAATCTTTAAATTAGTCTCGGGCGAAGAAATTATGGTAGACACTACCTTAACCGTCACTGGCCTAATGTATAACAGTATAATTGAATCGGCTGTAATTGGCTGGTTACACTTGTGTAACAATGTGACTGTTGGAATGCCCAAAGTAAAATAAAGTGTGAGATAAAATGTTTGTGTTTTTAATTATATATTTGGGTGTTTTCAGTTATGTAGAGATCTCAGCAGAGTCTGATGATAAGTTCATGGATTTAGAAAAAACGGATTTGTCGGACAAGCGACTAGTAGGGAAGATGATGGTGACTAATAATACCGCTAACTTGGAAGATTTCTACTCCAATCCTAAAGCTGCTCTTGATGGAGCTATCCGATTAAGTAGGATCAAAATATTGTTTACAGTTTTAAATTGAATGATATTTTCCAGCTCAATCACAGGCTCCATCATTTCATTGCCTCGGTCCTTCGTTTGTCTTATTATATGTGGAAGAATGGCGACAATTCTTTATAATTGCATTTGCATAAAATTACTTTACTTAACAGCTGGGATTGTTTCACAGGTTTCTCTACATTTGGTCAAATAACATTATCCAGTGCCTCTAAACCTGCCCTTACACCTGGACGGTGGCTTGTTGGTGTTGTCATGGACCCCAGGTGAGTTGTTTCCTTCATCACCAGCAAAAACAGACACAATTACAACATGACATATGTGTTGTGAACATGAGCTGTACAATTGAATGATGTTTGTTTCATACTTCAGGCTCTACTGAGATGTAAAACTTATTTTGAGCTGCAAATGTAATGACAGTTATAGCTGTCAGCTATGAATCATAACAATCGAAACAACCTTCCCAACAGTCATGGTTCAAATATACGAGCAAAACAAGTGACGTTAAAGATAAAGATTGTAAATGACTACGAGTACCTTAACAGGGTGCTAATACTGTTTTTTGTTTCTTTCCTTGGACTCATCATTCCTATGTTGGCTCGAGCAATCTTTGACGTTGAGAACGTCAAATATGAAGGCCTTAAGTTCAAATATTGGTAAGAAGACACTTTGATCTATTAGATTATTTGGACTGCAATATATCATTTATAGATTGTACCATAATTTGATTTTCGATGTGGCTTTTTAGGTCAAGGATTTAAATCCAAATTCGAAACTTTAATTTCTGTATTAAGGCTGGAAACTCTAAAGAATTGGTTTTGGTCGGGGAAGAAGGGACTAACTTATCTCACAGCACTTTTGGCGTGTCTTCTCATCGTCAGTGCTTTCCAAGTACGTTCACTACCGTGGAGAACATGGTAAAACTATTTGTACGAAAGATAATCAGTATACTTTCCCCATTGCTTGCAATACGGAAATTTGAAGTATAACAGTGAGTGCTTCCATTTCAGGTAGTACACGCTAAATATAATGACATGCAAGAGTCAGGGGACAGAGACATTTGCTTTTACAACGAAAAGTGTTACCGACCTTATGGGGGTAAAATACCATAATTTTTCAAAAGGACTATACCAAAAATGCTCATGAAACTGTAAATATGAATTAAGATAAATATAATGATCCGCTCAAAACTAGCTCTGAAATTTATAAGTTTATAGTTGGTTGACACTAAGATGGCTCACTTCAGATTACTACGATGTATCGGTGAACGGTATAGCTAGTAATCTTCCTTTCATGGTGCAAGGAGTTATTCTTGTAGTTTACTTCTCCATCTCTGAAGCGTACTGTAGATCTAATGGTCACGAGTAAGTATAGAATAATGATCATTTTAAATATTATAATGGTGATAATACAATATTTTTATAACTGTATTATCATCACTCTTTGTTAAAAACTGTTGCCCTTGTTCCTTGTAAAGAGGAATTAGTTCCTCAAGAGCTTCTATTTTCCACTGGTCAATGAATGATTTGACAGATCAAAAGTTTACAACAAAGTATACTGAATCAGTTTTATTTTTAAATTATTTTACAAAACTGTCTCAAACTGTTTATTCATATTTACTGACCGACATTTTTATTGAAATGAATTGATATATCAGACTTTTTCCTTTTATTGACTAAAACTTACACTTACCATAATGAGCTTTCTGTATAACTTCAGGCATTTCGACTACTCGATACCTTATTCCTTTGGACTGGCCTTTATCTGTGAAGGGTTTGGATCACTTCTGTACCACATCTGTCCTAGTCAAATAATCTTCCAGGTTCGCACATTTTAAACCATTTGTTAAGACTGTTAATTGTACTACTAGTAATATCAGTATCACCAAACCATGGTGTAAATGGTAGTGGCTTTCATTAGAGCTGCGAAAATAACACGAGTGTATATGCCTGGGGTTGCGTCCCGACTATACTGCAGGGAAATCTGTACCGAAAGGACCGTGGCCGCACCGCAAAAGAAAAGGAGATCAGCCCCTCGTTCCTAGCTTGGTTCACCATTGTTGTGTTGTTGTTAATTGTATTAATACTAATAGCAGTATTCAGCTATTAGAAAATGTTTTTAAGTATTTCAGTGTTATTAAAAATTACAAATCGTGGGTCTTCAGAGAATACGAAAGAAAATTAAAAGTTTTCCAACTGCTTAACCTAACATCCCCCAGTTCGACACCTTGTTCATGTTTGTGATCTCCATCATAATGATCATAGCTATCTTCGAGGGAAACTCTATCCGGGAGTGTGATGTGAGGTAAGTGTTTTTATCTTCATTAAGTCTTAGGATGACATTTTTAGATGATTTTTTAATGAAAACCACATTCGAAGAATTATAATTTGAAAATCTCCCCAGGTTTACTAAGGTGGCAAAACACAAAGCGATAAGAACCCCAAAAGTTTTTGCTTTCTTTGTTGGTCCTGTCTATTTTTTCAACTTCATTGGCAACTTGATCGCTACTGAAGGTTGGAAGCATTTCAAAGATTTACAGTAAATTACCTTTATTTGAAATTTTAACTCAAGTTTAAAAAGATCTAGACAACTGAAAATTATAAAACAAAAAATTTGCTTCAAATGCGCCAGAAGTATAATATAAAAACCCCACTGCTTGCTTCATTAAACCAGAACAATTCCGTTGAATGTTTTTTAACTTATTATTACATTTGTTATGTCTTCCATAATCCATACGCATGAATTATATTGTTTACCCATAGACGAACAAGCAAACGTAGTCAATATTTTCAACATAGAAGTGACGTGGCATGGTATGATGATTTGTTACAACACTATTACTATCTAGTAGTGCTCCTTGATCTGTAACATCACTACTCAATTCTTGATCAAATGATCAGTCACACACCACATGGATTTCACGCACCACATGAATTTCCAGCTGATATCATTTGATTGTATATGTGTATACATACACAATACACATATATGTGTATACATTATATAATATATATGTGTATACATTATAATCGGTCGACACAGTGATTGTTGTTCGTAGAATATCCCAAGAATCTAAATGAAGGGAAATTGATTATCTCCCTCCTGTAAAATTTTTTATCTTTACAATACAATGTTATTTTATTTTATTTTTTTTAAAAGCATTATTTCTTAATTTCTGAACATTAAACAGCAATCCTATTTGACAGGTTTGCCTGTGCCGTTCGTCACAGCTTTCTATATAGTATTTGGTGCCTGGTGGATTGGAATACTGCTATGGGCTTCCTATAAGCTCGACCTCTGGCCAGATTATTTTAATCCAAAAAGCATTCCGGAAATGCCTTGTCTGGATGAAGTGGATGGCATGGAAGATACTAAGAAGATGCCTAAAATGGTGGTAAGTATACTCGAAGCAGCTATAGGTACTTGAACCACACGAGTATATATATATCACAATGCTGGCAAGCATTACCGTCGCCCTTATATTCACAATACTATTTACCCCCTATACTATTATATCCCCTTTATTGTTTTCCAGGCATTAAGACTCATCGAAAGTAGTTCAGCAGGTATATTTAAGTAAAAAACATTCTAATTCAATGTTAAAGATGACAGGAATAAGAAATAGTTATGTGGAGGTTTTTAAGAAATTTGTGCAAAATACGCGCCAGCATGTTATACGAAATTAGGTAAAAAACCCAAAATCGCCATATTCAGGTGCCTTAAAAACCATGTTAAAATTGAGTTAGAGATCTGAAACTTTGCAGGGCGTCTAGACCTCGTCCAAATCGACTGTAAAAAAAGTTTCATGTTTCAGGAGTATCGGGAAGTGAGTTTTCTGGAACCCCTGTTTTACAACAGATTGTCGTGAAGGATATATATACTTATATATATGTATGTATAGACGCTTTGGCAGTCAATTATAGCCTACATTTAAGTGTCCGTAGAATCAAAAGTATAAAAGATACAGTCATTTTGAACCACAGGTTTTAAAGATAATTGTTTATATTTTAGTTTACATTATATCAAAAAATAATTTATCTTCATCATCATCACTTGATGACGTCATCAAATTAAGTGTTTTTAAAACTTGATTTTTGACAAAGTAACAACTTTTCAAATCGATTTTAAACCATTAAGGAGTAACTTTATTCAAAATCTGAGGACATTTTCACCTTAGATAATTGTTCAAGCATTCTGAAAATCTACCGGAAAAGTTTCTTACTTTGCTCCTTCATAAAGATATTCGCTATTGAAGTAAGTGCTTTTTTGAAGAATAATTTCTAAAAACACAAAAGTTGTGAATTAGTATTCTCTGGTGTTGGGCCATCCCTTGGGTTGAGGAGCTCAATTTTGCTTTTTAAAGGTCTAAATTGTGTTATAGGCTAGTTTTAAAGTTGAAAATCAAAAAGTTGCACACGTGGGGACACGCCCAATTTGATAGAAAATTGCTAAAATTACTGAAAATTGCTGTTTTCACCATTTTTATCAACTTTGGAGTCTCGTTGTGATCCAAGTTCTATATGAAATCTTCTGAAACTTTGCATGCTTATTAAACTATATATAAAATACTGCTATGCAAAAATTTACGGTGATTCAATATTGTATCCGCACGCAACGTCCGCTCAAAGTTTGCACGTGCGAAAGGTGAGAATTTTGCTCATTCGTGATTTCTAATAAATTCTGCTTTCCCACGATATTTAAATGGCATTATATATGAATTTAATGCCAACTTGAATAAGTAAAAAGTGCCATATTCAGTCAGGTAAAATTTCGAAATCGATGAAATTACCTCCTAATTATTAATATAAATATTAATGAAGTTATGAGTTTACATTTCGGCTTTGTAAATTATCCTGACATTATAATCAAAAAGAGATGATATTTGACCAAAACCCATAATCATGGGTAGAGTGTACCGCTGCCAGTGTCTCTCTTTTCCAAACAAAAGGAAATGATATTAATTTGAATAACCGTCCGAAAATGCAAATTGATACCGAGAATGAAATCGGTCGCTCGCTTTTTCCAATCAATAAGCTTTATATTACAATTCGTAAGCCGTGATCGAATGGAAAAAGCGAGCGACCGATTTCATTCTCGGTATCAATTTGCATTTTCGGACGGTTATTCAAATTAATATCATTTCCTTTTGTTTGGAAAAGAGAGACACTGGCAGCGGTACACTCTACCCATGATTATGGGTTTTGGTCAAATATACTATAAGCTAATTCGAGTTCAGGAAAAACTTAAGGCAAGCAAAAATAAATGTGAGCTATATTTTTACAAGTTTACATCAGTGATCAGTGTGATAATCCTACTAAACATCACTGACCAGTAACATGTTCCTCTCAGGCGTTCTTTATGAGGCACGCTAAGATAATCAAGGTAACAATGTTCCTGGGGTACTGTGGTGTGGTGGTGGCTGGGTTTGTAATGTCCCTCCTACAGATGTTATCATTCTCTATATTCATCCTGGGAGCCCTTATCTTTGGACAAGTTGTAAGTTACGCCAAATAAGGTTAATAATGTAATAACTGGATAACTTGACTTGTCCATACTGTGAACAATGTATAATATGTTGTTGATAATAGAGCTCAGTTTTGAACAGGTATCTAGTCTCCCCTAATGTTAATTTGAATCTATTTAAAAAAATTACATTCGGAGTATTATACCCTCACAGATACAAACGAAATTATTCCTTAAAACCTATATTCCCTTGCAGATACTTACCGGAGTGTTCTTTATTCCTACCATCTACACAGTATTGCAACATTTCGTTAACATAACTGTGCAGATAAAAGAAAGCAAGACATCTGTCTCAAAGCAGTGCTTAGTTCTTTTAGGTGCGAGCATGACTGTACAATTTCATCTTTTTTAGAGCGATCAATTATTCTAAATATAGCTTATTATGATTCGCTAAAAACGAAAACGAAATAAATAAACTGAGGGCGAATAAGGCTATAAGCTTTATGCAATTTTACTGATTCAACTTTCATGAGTTTTTAAAATGTCAACACATAATTAATGTTTAAGTTTAATATCCAAATATTAATAAGATCAGAATGCTCATAAAGCATTTCCACAGGTATAGTGTTGTATGTAGTGATCGGGTGTGTTGTAGTTGTGATATCTCTTATATTCTTCACCGTGTTCTCTGTCACTGACAAGTCCATATACCCCTGGAGATCACGGGAACAGAACGCCGAGTGTTTCCTCAATGGTTTCTATGACACCCACGACTTCTGGCATTTGTTTGCCAGCTTTGCTCTCATGATGATGTCTATGGTAGTGGTACAGGTATGTATTTCTTTATAATGGTTTACTTTTTAATATACAAGTATTGTAACTGCTATATTTCTAAACATGAAAATGTTCAATACTGAAAATCAGTGTTGTATCCATAAATCAAGCCTATCTTGAATATAGCATAAATTGAAGACAGTATATGTCTTATTATTCTGGGAATAGAATTGCTCTCTGGGTCTTAAACATTAGCAAATCAGTGACACTTTATTACTTTTTTAATTATATTTCAGATCTGCAAGCCATGCCGTGAGTGTTACCTACAATACGTAAAAAAGAACAAGGAAAGAATCGATGCAGTGAGGACAATGTCAGGGGCAGTAAATAAGCTTAACTTGACTCAGAATGCAATTAACAAGTTCAAGAAACCAATCAAGACACCAGTCACCCCAGTAGCCGATGTGGATAACGAAGCTGGGGGCACTGAGAAAGATGTAGGTACAGAGAATCTGAGTTATAACAACCCTGTTGTCAAGTTCTCTGTCGACACTGATCCTAACGCAGTCGAGGATGTGTAGATACTCACCTTTTTAGTATTTTAGTTTATTTTGTAGATTATGTAAAGTCTGTGTTAGTACCATGTACTGGGTTGTTAGTACTACCATCTCAACTGAGAAATAATGATCGTCAACTTAAGGCAATTTTTGTTTATTTAATCAAAAATAAATCAAAATATCAAACAATTTTTCATCTTCATTCTTTTTAAAATATTTTATTGACCACCAACCCTTAAATAAATGTACAAGCATCCCATACAAGTTCATTATGAGGGTTTTTTAATCATTTACAAGAAATAGGCTGACAAAAACGTATTTCATAAGAGTATATTTGTTATACTTTTCTTAGACGTTCCTGGCAACAGAGGCTTGATAGGAGAGGCCAAGGAATCAACATCATTCAACAAGAAGAATCATAACGAGGTCTAATTACCTTCTGATTCTAGGTTTACTAAAAGCTATATGTAAGATGCATGCATATATATTTATATGTGTCACGTGTCGCTGGCGCTGTTACACTATCTGCGACACCTTCATTTCAACATGTTCTACCACCTCATTATCTGCACCTTCCTTTCTCTGTGATGCCATGATAATATCTTATACTCGTTGTGTATGTTAATGTTATATTGTATATGTTATGGGATATTAGTGATGAGTAACTAAACTCAGTTGAACTGATGCGACACATGCAGATTCATTTGGAATATTACGAAGGAGAAATATGCTAAACTGCCCATGAAAAATATGTATGAGTGTTGCAGTTACTATTTGGGATACATAGCATGTACTCTTTTTTTTTATAAAACTCGAATTTAATCTTATATAATCAGTTATTTAAATTATGAGTCAGCCTAATTTCTGTTGGGGTACAGTTTATAGTGTTAACATCTTTTTACTTTCATTGCAGATCAGCTTGAATGATTAACTGATAAACCTATTACAAAATATTTCAAAATGCAAGCAATAACCGGATAACAAGAATTTTTACGATTCGTAATGGAATTGCAACTGTTTTTATTATTTCATTAATCACTCCGAGTTTTAGCGACATGTATTATACTTACTGACTGATATGCTACGTTTTCCAGTAAGTTGATTTTGCAACTCATATTTTAGATAATAAGAGGGATGGGGATTAATCACTCTACGCTTGCTATCACACAACTTTTGTTTGTTTGGGGACTGGTTTATTATAGCCAGTCAATGTTTACGAATATAATAACTTTATTACATAATTATAAATATATAACATAAATAGATAAAATCTTCAACAAAATTTTTGCACACAATTGATAAATAAAAAAGGGAAAAGGATGATTTATTGATTGAAACAAAAAATAAAACACACTGTGCTACCAACAGCTTTTAAGACTCGCGCTTACAGCTTAGTTTGTTTGGGACTGAGTTATAGTCATGGATCTGACGACATTCCCGTCTATATAACTTCCGCCCCGGGGTTTGAGACTTGGAATACCTCAAGGGACCCATTAGAAACAAATTTGACTTGGGTAGAAATTTTGGCTATGGTGCAGTTTTGCGCAATTGACCACGCCCTTTTTTGGCGCTTTTGCAACTTTAGAATCAAAATAACTCCGCTTCTAATTGGAATTAGAAGCTCAGCTTGGCTTTAAAGTTGTTCAGAATCATCACATTTAGGGGGGTAGAGCATAATTTTAAAGTCAACAGACATCGGGTTGTTGAGTTATGTGACCACACCCTTATTTACCCTCGCGAGTCGTGATTTTCACACTAAATACGAGATATCTCGGCTTCTGATCGAGCTACGTGCTCATCCTGGGCATTAAAATGTTCAGAATCATCCCATTGAGTAGGGTAGAGCACAATTTCAAAGTCCTCAGATGTCAGGTTGTTGAGTTATTAGGCCCCAACCTGTTTTTACGCTCTCGCGGATAGCGATTGCAGCGCTTAAAATCAAAATAACTCAGCTTCCAATTGAAGTTAGGAGCAAAACTCGGGCAGCAAAATGTTCACAATCATCACATTGAGTGGGGTAGAACATAGTTTCAAAGTCCTCAGACGTCAGGTTGTTGAGTTATTAGGCCCCGCCCAAATGTTTACGCTCTCGCAAGTCCCGATTCGACGCTTAAAATCAAAATAACTCTGCTTCTGATTAGAGTTAGGAACTAAACTTGTGCATAAAAATGTTCAGAATCATCACATTGAGTGGGGTAGAACGTAGTTTTAAAGTCCTCAGACGTCAGGTTGTTGAGTTATTAGGCCCACACCATAGTATTTACGCTCTCGCGAGTCGCGAGTGGACACTTAAAATCAAAATAACTCGGCTTCTGATTAGAGTTAGGAACAAAACTTGGGCATGGAAATGTTCAAAATTATCATATTGAGTGGGGTAGAACGTGGTTTCAAAGTTCTCAGGCGTCAGGTTGTTGAGTTATTAGGCGGAACCCTATTTTTACGCTCTCGCGAGTCGACACTTAAAATCAAAATAACTCGGCTTCTGATTAGAGTTAGGAACAAAAATTGGGCATGGAAATGTTCAGAATTATCATGTTAAGTGGGGTAGAACGTGGTTTCAAAGTCTTCAGACGTCAGGTTGTTGAGTTATTAGGCGAAACCTTATTTTTACGCTCTCGCGAGTCGCGAGTCGACACTTAAAATCAAAATAACTAGGCTTCTGATTGGAGTTAGGAACTAAACGTGGACATAAAAATGGTCAGAATTATCACATTGAGTGGGAAAGAGTGTGGTTGTACGGGATTTAGAGAGTATTCACTGTTTGCTCTGGGCAAAACTTACTTTTTCTGGTTATTAATTTAATTTTCAAACTACTTTTACCATCGCAGTTGTGAGCAATTCATCTTGGCCAGGAACAAGAAAGAATAATTACATTATTTATCGTATAAGGTCGACGTTAGTTCGTCAAACATAAATAGAAAAATAGAACTCAATACATGAGATCATAAATAGAAGTATTAGAACTTGATACATGAGATCATAAACAGAAGTATTAGTGACTCAACAGCCTGAACTGCCTGATCCCTTATGACTTTGAACCCACGCTCTACTCCACTCAATTCAATAATTCTAAAAATGTGTATGTTCAAGTTGACTTGCTAACTCCAATCAGAGGCAGAGTTATTTTAATTTTAAGCGTCGACTCACGACTCGCCTGAGCATACAAATAAGATGGGACCTAATAACTCAACAACCTGACGTCTGAAGACTTTGAAACTACGTTCTACCCCACTCAATGTGATGATTGTGAACATTTTGCTGCCCGAGTTTTGCTCCTAACTTCAATTGGAAGCTGAGTTATTTTGATTTTAAGCGTTGCAATCGCTACCCGCGAGAGCGTAAAAACAGGTTGGGGCCTAATAACTCAACAACCTAACGTCTGAAGACTTTGAAACCACGTTCTACCCCACTTAATATGATAATTCTGAACATTTTCATGCCCAAATTTTGTTCCTAACTCTAATCAGGAGCCGAGTTATTTTGATTTTAAGTGTCGACTCGCGAGAGCGAGAGCGTAAAAATAAGGTTTCGCCTAATAACTCAACAACCTGACGTCTGAGGACTTTGAAACTACGTTCTACCCCACTCAATGAGATGATTTTGAACATTTTTATCCCCAAGTTTAGTTCCTAACTCTAATCAGAAGCAGAGTTATTTTGATTTTAAGTGTCCACTTGCGACTCGCGAGAGCGTAAATACTATGGTGTGGGCCTAATAACTTAACAACCTGACGTCTGAGGACTTTGAAACTACGTTATACCCCACTCAATGTGATGATTCTGAACATTTTCATGCCCAAGTTTAGTTCCTAACTCTAATCAGAAGCAGAGTTATTTTGATTTTAAGCGTCGAATCGGGACTCGCGAGAGCGTAAACATTTGGGCGGGGCCTAATAACTCAACAACCTGACGTCTGAGGACTTTGAAACAACAATGTGATGATTGTGAACATTTTGCTGCCCGAATTTTGCTCCTAACTTCAATTGGAAGCTGAGTTATTTTGATTTTAAGCGCTGCAATCGCTACCTGCGAGAGCGTAAAAACAGGTTGGGGCCTAATAACTCAACAACCTGACATCTGAGGACTTTGAAATTGTGCTCTACCCTACTCAATGGGATGATTCTGAACATTTTAATGCCCAGGATGAGCACGTAGCTCGATCAGAAGCCGAGATATCTCGTATTTAGTGTGAAAATCACGACTCGCGAGGGTAAATAAGGGTGTGGTCACATAACTCAACAACCCGATGTCTGTTGACTTTAAAATTATGCTCTACCCCCCTAAATGTGATGATTCTGAACAACTTTAAAGCCAAGCTGAGCTTCTAATTCCAATTAGAAGCGGAGTTATTTTGATTCTAAAGTTGCAAAAGCGCCAAAAAAGGGCGTGGTCAATTGCGCAAAACTGCACCATAGCCAAAATTTCTACCCAAGTCAAATTTGTTTCTAATGGGTCCCTTGAGGTATTCCAAGTCTCAAACCCCGGGGCGGAAGTTATATAGACGGGAATGTCGTCAGATCCTTGACTATTAGGATATCGTAGATATTGCTATGCCATTAGTTTAAATATAAAGTGTTGTGATTGTTAAAATCAATTACGGTTTGTGCTGATAAGAGAATAGTGATAATGGGGAATGTGGCAGTGTAATTAATGCGAACCTGGAATTTAGGATGTGTGGCTTATGCGTTAATATTAGTTGCCACTAGTCTGTGCTCAGTGTGTTCTGCGTGCAAACATATATTATAGTTTATTTTCTAATATCATATAATATATTGTACGTAATAATAATCATATCACTAATTAACTAATTAACTAATTAGTTAAACTAATATGACCGTTCAGTAAATGTCAAACCCGTTGTGATCTTCTTAGTCCTCAGTCCTGGAATGTTATGTAATAAGAAACTGGGCCATGTGTCATCGTAATTTTCTCTCTGCAAGTTCAAGACTCAAGAGCATGGGTTTTGTAGCCGATTTAAAAAGGTTTATGGAAAAAAAGTGTGGGTAGGGTGCTTACATTAACATTTACAGCATAAATTGAGAGTAACTGTAAAGATCCTTTTAAAGAACAGCGATGATCTGCAGTGGGTGCATTTTCTGGGAAGGTCATAAGGATTTGTTGAGGGACTGAACTACGGAAGTGCTTGATTCGATGCATGAGAATTGTAAAAGTAATTAATGTAACCATACTTATACTGCCCTGATGACCTGTTTTTGTGGTGAGAAGAGTGATTCAATGTGATTTTTTGCTGCAAACCCCCATACAATTGAACAAAGTCAAAAGTTTAGGTGCGATTGAACAAAACTTTGATATATCTGTAGCCTTATTTGAATCGGTAGGTGACGTTTTATTTTATACATAATTCCAACATACCGCATCATTTTTGATCTAACAGCTGCAATATGCTTAGACCATGTTAATTTTTCATCCATTATGTTTATAACGCCAAGAAACCGTGCTTCCCCTTAACAGTCTAATTGTGTGTCCGCAATATGAATATTTGGAGAATGGAGTATTATCAGTATTACTATTACTAACACCGAAATGCATATAGCAGATCTTTTTTAGATTGAGTGCAAGTCCATTACAGTCAACCCAGCGTACAAACTCGTGGGAGAGTTGGTTGAACTTTAACGCTTTCTGTGTAACCCAATCTCTAACCCAAGCATCTGCAAAAGCTCGATGAAAAATTTGACTACATTTATCATTTATGATAAACAACCGTGTGATAAAAACAGTTTTTCACTTGTCAGGAAGCATTTTAACTTTTAAGCCTATTATATAAAATACAAAACATGCAGAAGCTTGGAATCAGCGCTAAAAATATGTCAAATCCAGTCGCTTTCAAATTCTGGGGCCATTGATCAAGTGTAGAGTGATATCATTAGAGAAATAACAGGAGTTTTTTGAGGGACGTATAGGAACTTTTTGTACTTGTAGGACTCCAGCTAATTCAAATTTTGAATTTGGAATATTGAATTGATGTATATGTTAAGTGCGATAAAATATTTATTGTTAGTGTATGAATATAATGCTTATTTTTGGAAATATGAATACAATATATTATTTGCTGGATTTTTCCTATTCTAAATCATGTGCTTTAGATAATTAGAATAGATATCGTGCTTTTGAAACAATGATGCATGGAATAATTAGCTTTACTTAAATTTTCTTTAATGTTATTTTTATCATTTTCTGTTCTGTAACATCATTTCATTCAACTTTTAAACAAAAAGTACGCGTATTTTTTACTACGAATAGTGAAATAAAAATATGAATTTTATCAGAATTGAAGGAATAAGTTGTCAATTTCTTCATCATATAAAGTGTACAAAACGTGTTCGCATTAAATGAATACTTCGAAAAAGCGTGAATTTGAGTAAAAACATCAACTGACGGTTTGAAAGCAGTGATAAATGCCACAGCAAGATATAGTACAACTAAAAGCTTTACAATGGTAAGCTCTTTTAAAAGTTAACATCAAGAGGAATATTACTCCTGATTAACAAATATAATTCCCAGTCCGCAGGTAAAAGTAATAAAAAGAAGTGCAACTCTGCTTATAGATTTTCATAGTTCGTAAAGGGAGAGAGATCTCTTCGTAATCGCTAGCCAGTAACGATTAAAACAGTTAGTAGTCCTGAATTCCTAGGCACGTTCAATGATCAATCTCGCTTGCAAAATCTCAACAAATAAAATGATTTTTTTCAATACTTCTGGTAAAAGTGGGTTATAGCTGACTGCATTGAAAATATTTCCACCTCAGTAATATCAGGTATCAGAGGTCATGATCAGTTGTTTTACTCCACTTTCTCCAACTTTGAGCTTCAGGCTGTCAATCCGTTTATTTTTCACCTAATTCACTACACGTGCAGAATGTTGTCTCCTTCACAAGCACGTGCTGTATGGTGTCTTACACGTGGGCTGCTTTCTTCTTGATGTTGGACCGCCGCCGTCTCCACAATAACATAGCAGAAGCTAAGATAATGATGCCGAGCGCTAGTGTACCACCCCCAGCTATAGCTAGTGGCATGTTTTTGTGACGTCCGAACAGGTCGAATAACTCTACTATGATCATTATTATTCCAACTCCTATCATCAACACTCCTGTAAGTTGTTTTCAAGGTTATAAAAAGTTGTGTTTTTAATATTATAATTCAACTGAATAAAGCAATTCCAGCATCTCATTAGTCATTGACATTAGAACGCAAAAAACAACCACATGTTATTTGACCTTCTAAAGATCTACAAACATGTAATTTTAGCCTTCGATATTTCTGAAAATTTGTAATACGACCAGCTGTATAAATAAGAAAAACAGAGTTTTCAAAAATATAGGGTTCTCGAGAACAGCGCTATACCAACACTCACCAAAAAACATAACACAGCTGTAACAATACATTCCGTCGTTCTGGGCCTCTCTGTCATAGTTCTGCACTGCTTTAGTGAAGTTGTATCTCTCTGGGTTCTGCATCTGATAAAACTTGGGGATATAACACATGTAAGGGCTAGCAGCGACAATCAGTCATTCACATAGAAACGGGCAATGAGTTTAGTGCTCATCACTAAACGTGCTCTTTTGCTTGGTGCTTTTTGCATGCTTTAGTCTCTTATCATCACTAAACGGGCTCTTTTGCTTTGTGCTTTTTAGGCTATTTGTGCTTTTTATTTGCTTTAATCTGTTATCGTTGCTTGATTAGACTGGTAGGAGCTAACAAAAAAGGTTTGCAAATGATACTAGCCAAGTAAAACTTTCTTACAATTGGGCAGGTTCTGAGTGGAATGATCAAATATAGTCCGGTTAGGTAGAGATGCTGCTATTGTTACCAAAATGTGGCCACAATCAGTTCTAAAGAAGTGACACCATCTAGGTTGGCATGGAGTGTAGGAAGCAGGGGAAGCATCGCCCCCCCCCCCCCCCCCCCCCTATAATATCTGGGCAAGGGGCCAAAAAGGGCCAACTTTTTTATTTAGGTTTCTAAAAATGTTCGGAAAAACATAGGTATTTTTCGGTTTTCGAAGTCCGCACCTACCCTTCGATATGATTTTGGACTCGAGGGTTTCCCCTTGTGATGCGATGTCGGAAGACAGGCCTCGCGATTTGTCGCAGCAAACGTGAAAAATCGCGATTTGTCGCCGAGAATGGGAAAAAAGAGATTCTGAGCCAAAAAATCCAAACTGTGGCGCGAAGCACCAACAAAAATTTATAATTTGACCCCCCATGAAGAAAATTATTCCTACACCCCTGGGTTGACATGAGTGACGAAAATGTCCCTAACGTTAGCTTTGCTTCATATTTTAACATCGCTGTTCCAAGGATTTGCTTCCATGCACCCTCGAATTGCTTTACAAAAACAATTAATCTGAAGTGTGCTTTGAAAAATATAAGAAGTAAATGTGCTTAAACCATAAAATTTGAAATCAAACGCATTTACATTACTGCAATTATATAAAAGTATAAAGCTTTTTTTAATCTTGAGTTGCTGTTTTTGGCAGAGTATTTGATAAATAAATAAATTGCTCAATTAAATAATTAATTGATTAATAGTGTTCAAACACATGAAACATCCTACTCACATGGTAATAACTTTTGTGGTTCTGTGGATAATTGTTGGGGAATTGTTGCTGATAGAACATGTGTTCAGGGTTTCCTTGATCTATGAGTGGAGCGTTCATGTGGTACTGTTCTTGTAGAGGGTCGTAACCTGGCTGTTGGTTATACAGGTTCTCTCCTGCAGTGGGCGGTAATTAGGCGGTAATTAGGTGGTAATTAGGTGGTAATTATGTGGTGATTAGGTGGTAATTAGGTGGTAATTAGGTGGATAAAATATATCCTTGTGTATACATTTATTATTTCTACGTCTTCTTTTCTGTAAAAACTAAAAAATTGTTATTTGAAGCGATGCTGTATATTATTTCCATAATTTTTGAGGTAATTAAGCTATCGACAACTACAAAAATGGAAGGTATTCAAAATATTCCAGTCAAGGATCTCAATTTAATTGTATGTACTTAGTACTTCAACATAAGGTTTCACCAGAGCAATCGTCACCATTTCTATTGGTACTATTAACCAAGTAGCGCAAATCGAATAAACAATTGGTGATCAGTCAAAAGTTTGCGGAGGCGGTGCCAAATAAAATTACCAAGTATTATTCTTATCACTGAATATAACATGAAGGGTGCTCAAAGTAAACAATAAACATGGTGTGAAGTAGTGCTGATATAACTGGTAGACTGGTTGTTTTGCTGGAACAGTCAAGGAACATGACCTACAATAAACAAAACAAGTGTACTGGTGCTGTGCAAACAATAAGGCTATTACAAAATACAAACCTTGTCAGCAGGAATCATGCAAATCTTTGTTTATAAGTTTAAGTTTTCCCTACGATTACTATATTTCTAGAACTGGTTACTAGGTTACTAGAAGTGGTTACTAGAGTAATAAGTGTGAACCCTTTCTCACCGCAGGGAGATGCTGTCTCACCGTAGGGAGAAGAGTCGTAACTCTCGTAACTGTACGCAGGTGCACTCATCTGTTGAGAAGGAGGTCCTCCGAACTGGGGGTCTTGTGGGGGAGGGCCCCCAAGTTGAGGCACTTGCTGAGGATGAACACTGAGTTGGGGCGCCATTGCAGGAGACATTGGGCCAGGAGAAGGCGGGACCGACGACAGATCCTCTGGAGGTGGGGCGCTGGAAGCTTGCGGAGGAAGAAGGAGAGTGGGTGGGTGGGCTGGTTGCTGGGCAACAGGTTTCCCATCCACTTGATCAGCCGGAGCATCTAGAATACCACTGTTAACACGACACGCGCACATGCTAAATACAAACTAACAGTGAGGGTGTTATACGAAGTACGATAATAGAGAGCTTCACTTACTACAAAATATGACATGTTAATAAATACTGCTGTATTAAACTCTTCTACTACGGAGTTTAACTGTTAACCGAACTTAAACTAAGTATAAACATTAGTTAAAATACTAAAGAATGCGACTAACCGATGAGTTTCACCCTTATGGGATCTGAAGGTATTCGCTCCTCGTCGTACATCTCACCTTCCTGTCCCCCTTCTCCAATCTGCTCCGGGTGTGTAGCTAGTACACCCGCGTCAAACTGGGGGTGGGTGTGTGTAGTTACTGGTCGTGTAGTGGTGAGTGGTGGAGTGGTGATGACAATTAACGAAGAGAGAACGGTTTAGACTTTCATACAGTGCCATTATAACCATTGATTTGGTGGAAATTTGTATAGTCGCATTATTCATGCGTATAATAATGTTTGGTCAATGCTTTGCGTAAACCATATTGAATATCCTACCTAAAATAGATGAATAAAATAAACGACACGTATCTAAAACTCCTATCCATGTCATTGATAGTATAAATTCTTTGTATCAAAATATTTACAATCTTAAACAGTTCCACTGAAATCACAAAAAATCACACTATAAAACGATATTAAATTCTGATTCTCTCTAAGTCTCTACGACTGTGATCAACTATTTGAGTTTCCAGACGCATGGCCCTTCCCTTTACTAGAAACTTCGTGGTACACAAAATCAACGTCTTTTTTCAAAGCAGTAAAAGATTTCCTCCTAATCTCCTTCATATCCTGTATAATAGACTTGATGACTTTGTTGCTATCAGTCAGTACGTTATCTGAGAACTCTCCATAGTTCTCGATCTGTTTCTTATGGGCCTCCAGAAATCGTCTTACAGCTGGATCCATATCCAGGTTACTGTTACCCAGGTTAATGTTGTTCAGGTTACTTTTGTCAGCCATTGTTGCTTTGTGGAGATGAGTACTAGATATTAGCGTCAGTTTCACTACTACACTTGGAAAGGAACTAAACCAAGATTGCAATAAAAAGGAACTAGTTATTTACCACAAAAACAATTTGTGAAGCTTCAGTATGGAAAAAAGATTTAGATTATGCTCGCAAAAAACGTTTCACGTAATAATTATCCGCGACCACGGGAAACACTAGATTGCAATGTGAATGGTTTCCTCTAAAGACTAACGAGCTTAAGCAGCAAAACCCACTGCGCTAATTAGCAATTAACTGGAAATTCCCCGTCTGCCAAGGATAAAGCACCTGTCATGTTAGTTAGCACCATGGTGCCGTGATTAGCACCTTTTAAATAACATCCAGTTGCTGTCTAGCTTGCTTTTATCTTTGCTAATTTTAGCAGATTTTTAGCCAATTTCATGGACGATTTGTTCATGTTGGTGCCAAATCGGTCGCCAACCTCGCACCTAAAATGGAAGCAGCTAGTTGCCAGAACAACCATTTCCTTCCCCCTAGTGGTGACGCGGGACAGGGTTAGTTAGACTTCTTTCCAAGATCACGATGTTTTTAATGAACCAAATCCTACCGAAGAGGTGCCGAAACCGACTCAAGCACTGCAGATCGCCACAGTATAAGGAACCGGAAACCTTAGCCTAAATTTGTATCATTTTCCAATCTCCAGATCACCTACCTGATTATTACGTTACCGTTACTGGTGGACCTCCTTACCTAGGAACCGTGGTAGAGTGAGTGGCCCACAAACAAACTATGTTTCCTGATTTACAATTTAACGATTAAAATGCTGTTGTCTCACAGAGAGCACTGTGTCCCCTGACTACCTCGTCCTGCTGGCTGAAGGGAGCAGTAATGAAGGGGTGCTAAATACTTATAGTTATACAAGTATAGAGATGAATAGTAACAATAACTTACTCTGGTCGGATCAGCAGAGTTGGGGGTCTGTTCTCCGTCCATTGGTATATCAGAGTCTGCACCTGACATCTGGGACATCTGGGCTCCCATCAAACCAGCACCTTGGATACCTGCAACAATTACTATGTTAACAGTTGCCAGGGTAGCAGTTACCATATTAACAGTTGCCAGGGTAGCAGTTACCATGTTAACGGTTGCCATGGCTACTCCATTTCATTATCAATACTACCTACAAAACATGGAAGGTCTATTAAAGGAATATTGAGAAGATAATAACTGTACAATACAATAATAACTGTAGCGAGAATTACCTGATGCAGCCTGTAGTAAGCGAGGGTCCATGTGGGAGCTAAGTGCTGTCGGTGTGTTGCTCGTGAGCGCTGCTCCGCCAACCGTATTCTGGATCCTGCAATGGAATTAGTTTAGTTTGTCTGCTAATACTTTGTCCATATTATGTGTTCATCTCGAGAGAGAGGATTATTTCTGGAAAACGGTGGTTTCCTACTCTCTATCTCTCTGAACAGTATACAGTAAGTGAGGGATCAGCATTGTTACTGACGTACTGAATGTAGACTGTAGAGATATTATAGTCCTAATGGACAAACGGCTATCGAATACACAGACATTGAAAAAGATCTTGGAGTACATATCAATAGTAAGTTAGATTGGTCACATCACTGTGATATGATATACTCTAAGGCTAGTCAGAGGTTAGGCCTTCTAAAAAGAACATGTTACTTCACCAAGAACACTAAAAAACGTCGGGCCTTCTATCTATCTCAGGTTAGAAGTCATTTCGAACACTGCACAATTGTCTGGCGGCCTCATTCAGAAACCTCGGTGGAGAAACTTGAATCGATACAAAAAAGAGGCATCAAGTGGATCCTTAATGATATTTACTTGAGCCTTAGAGACAAAAAAAAAAGGTATTTCATAGCGTGTAAGGAACTAAATATCCTTCCACTCTCGGTAAGGTTTGATTACAAGGATATATTATATTTTCATAATATTTTTTATGACATGTCAGTTGTGACATTTCCACCTTACTTACGACGTTTCATGGGAAGTAGGTTAAGGCGATCACATCTAGACGATCTCAGTATGATTAGTGACATTTCTCCTCAAGTTCCACAAAACCTTACGTCAAGCCAGACCAGATGTTCAGGCATATCTAAGTCTTACTTTTACAGAGCACACATTCTTTGGAATAAACTCCCTTATGAATTAAGGGAAATCTCAAGGCCATCCGTGTTTAAAACCCATTTAATTAAGTACCTCTGGACAGTTCTAAACGACCATATAACATCCTCTGACAGTTAAACAATTTACCTTAATGTAACTATATTGTCTAAATATAAATTGATAAAAAGTATAATTAATAAAATATGTTAAATAAAGTGTGTTTATAATTATGATTTATGGTACATTGTTATTTATTATATTTATATTTTAGGCTGTAACCTTATTAGTTCAATGGAATAAACCTAGCATGCCTTGGTTGCAGCATCGCTTCACTTATAGGTGCATTTAGGGCCCGATGTAATTGCTATGATCAGTTTACTGGTCAACTGGTGTTTCGGTGTCCCTTATTTTGTATACACTCGGTCACTTGTCAAGGCATGTAAGGTCATTCGGCGATATTTTCTTTGAAATAAAATGATGTATTTGTGTAACAATTTGAAAGTTTATTGATAAAAAATGGGAGACAGTTTATCGAGCAGCGAAAAATAGGTTTTTTTGTCTTTATGGTGGCCAACAATTGAAGGACGCGCGAAAAACTTTTTAACTATTGATACATTCTGAAATAGAAACTGTTTTTTGCATGCTGATGCTTTAACTCTTTAACAAGTTGGCTTCAGTCCAAAAAGGAAACTAAGCATAAGCTGCTCTCTGATATTCAACCACAACAGATCATGTATGTTAGAATTAGTGATGTATGTTAGAATTCGTGATCCTCCCCCAAGTTACTATAGTAACAGACAGATTATAAATATATTTTGTTGCTATGGTAGGACGTTCTGTTGCCACAGTAACAGACTGTTGCCACAGTAACAGACTGTTGCCACAGTAACAGATCAGGTTGAAACTTACTCATCTTCAGGTTTATCGTCAGGCTCTTTAAAAGAGTAAACATGTTCGGCGGTGTTAACTCCCTGATGACCGTGAGCAGCTGTTTTGTGTGTTTTATTTGGAGTCCGCGGTTTAGTTTTGGCTTTAGCAGCCCATTGTTTAGCTAGTTTCTGTGCCTTGACGGGAGCCATGATAGCAGCAGCTAGTACGTGTTCAGGGGGCTGGAAGGCAGGTTTATCTGCTTCAGGGGCCTTGAAAGAGTGGTCCACTGTCTTGATGTGGCCTGAACTGATATTACCACGTTTAGCCGCTGTACGAGTAGCTGGCATACGTGACTTTGGTCTGGGTGTACTTTTAACATTCCCTCCCACGCTCTTCAGTCCATTAGCTAGCCCTTGTTTAGGTTTTCCTCCTCCTCCTCCTCTTCTGCCGCCGTGACGAGGCAGACAGGGAGCTGATCTGACCATGCGGCGATGCATGGTCCGACCCATGAGGGGGTTGTCATGACTACCATTACCAAGCCCTCTCTTGCTAGCAGAGCGGGGTCTGGGAGCGTCTCCAATAGTGGAGGAGCGGGGTCTGGAGCCGGTTCTAACGGGGAGGATCTGGCGGACTGAGGGGTTGGTAAAGGAGAACTTGTTGTGTGGTAGTGAGATTACTGACATATCACGTGCTGATCACATCTGGAACTTTCCTCAGAATAAGCAGCAACAAGGTGATTGTGTACAAGGTGTCATGTTAATCTGAGAGAGAGGCAATGCGGGGCGGAGTATCGGAGTCATGTGAAGCGGAGAGATACTGGAAAATATACACAAATTATGCGAATCAGATAACAAGTTTGTTGATGAAGGAGTAGATCATGAGAGTTAACAAGACTGTATTGTTTTGAAACTTGTGCATGTGAAGAACTAAGTCTCAGCTCGTTTACAGTATTTGTTGTGCATTGCTGCGTTTTTAAACTTTGGTTTAAAATCCTGCATGTAAAAGGACGACTGTATCTTTAATACATCACGTTCTTGTAGGAGCCCAGAAGGTCTTCTTATAGATATAGCTTGTTAAACGTACACTAGTTTCCGGATTGGGGTTGGGTTACTTTCCAATAATATAATAATAGAGTGCACTTCACACAGGTACAATTGTAGCAGACCAGAGAAGAACAGTTGCAGCACGCTTAAATTTTAGCGTATAACATTGCTGTGTTAAACTTAACAACGGTTTATTCTCAATTCTGATCTCATTGACGGTTTCTTTTATGACAAAGAATGATTATGTTGTGTATTTTGAGGCAGGAAAGAAATATAACCATTCTTCAGAAAAGTTAAGAATTATATTGTATTTTGAGGCATGAAAGAAATATAACCATTCAGTTATTGACGTCACTAAAAGAAGAGGCAAGTGGCATTAATTGATTGGAAAAATGAATCATTTAAAGCATTTTCTGTATATTTTCCAACAAAAAGTCGTATATTTTCATAATCTAAATTATTAAATTTGCGGTGTGCGGTGGGTTGATATTGTAACATACTTTTTTTATCTGTTAACTGTTTCGCGCGAGAGTTTTAAAATTTCGAGTTTAAGAAATCTTCGTCGGAATCAAATACACCAAAATTGGGTATTCGCTTTCGCGAAATTACCTGAAATGAAACATAAAATGCTCTTATTTAACGTCTTTAAGATGACTGAGCAAAATACGAACCATAAACACTGATCCGCAGCTTCTAGATAACGTTTACATTAATACAAAACAAATAGGATACCATAACAAGACCATTACGTTTATTGATAGAAATTGGATTTGGAAAAATAAAATAAAATAAAATCGGAAAAAATGTTTACCCGCACAGTTCTGTGACCAAGTGAGATGTTGTTGATTGTTTTTGTAGTTAACACGCGGAATGATATTTTAGAATTTTAAATATCTTTCATTTTGTTATTGACTTTCTTTTTGTGGTTCAGTCCAACAGTTGTCATTTTTGAAAATATTGTATAACTATTTTGTTGAATTACTAGTTAATAAATAGTATGGTTAGTGGTTGATAGTAGAATTAGTAATTTATTATATTAAAAATTATATTAAAAGTAGTTATTGTTATTAAATATAATATTAAATGAAGTAAATATTATTAAGAATATAGTATTAAAAGCAGTGAATAGTATTAAAAACAAACAAAAGTAAGAGTGAAACTCACTTCTCCAGGTCAATGTGTTTGTTTTTGGAGCTGGTGACGCTTTCAAGTGATATAATAGGGGACAGGATAGACTTTTTCACTACTTTGACTATTTTTAATAGAGGGTCTGCTTCTTTTGAATTTTTACCTAAAGTTGTCAAATCCACGTGTGATCTAGATTGGATCTTTTCCCTTTGATTGCTTTGTAGATTTTTACCTAAAGTATTTGATGCAGGACTATTAGACCTATTAACTGGACTAGGAGTTGGTTTTGGCTTTCTCGATAAGTTCATAGAGCTTCCGTCGAACTTCTTTACGAGGTTCGTTGAGTTGTTAGTGTTTTTAGTAAGACCGAAATTAGCATTACTGTTATCTTCACAAGCCATGAAGATGTTAGTCATACTTCTGTCCAGAGCCATTCTATCAGTAGCCACAGAGAGCCCCCTTATTAACCCGGCCCCAGAGGAGGGACCTGCTAGGTTATCTCTAGAGAGAATGCCAGGGTTCCTCATGATCTCTCTTTGGAGAGTCTCTGGGAAAGTCCCCGACTGTACTGACTGTTTAGCGGTTTAATTAAACTGATGGACTCTCTCCCTACTAAATGGGAGTTCCTCGTGTTCACTGATATCCCCCCACCAATAGTGCGTCCTTTGGGTTTAGGTTTAGCGCCGCCAGCTTTAGCGACGCCGCCTTTCTTAGCGCCTTTAGCGCCTCCCTTAGCGCCGCCACCTCCAGCTCGTTTAGCGCCACCTCCACCAACTCTCTTCGCTCCACCAGGTTTTGGGGCAGGCATATCAAATGAGAACTAACAATTTCAAAAACTAGTGTAAGATTAGACTGAGAGAGAAATGATAACGTGAAAAACAGTGCGCTTATAATACAATGACTACTTATAGCATGTGGTTCACAAGCACGATTATCTAGCTAAACTCGCTCGCAATAACGTTACTGAGTGTTTTTCTTAGAAATATACTCGGTTCTTAATCGACAAAAGTATGCAGAAATAGCAGTATAAAGTAGACTGTATTACATTTCATTTGAATTGTAAAACTTTATGATGAATGATGATGTTATTTTAATTCATAATTATTCAAAGTGATTGAAAAGTGTAATATCATATCATCCAAAACAAAACAATTCACTTTCTTAACAAGCTGCATGCAAATAG